CTGTGTATATGTCTGCAGGCCAGAAGAGGGCACCAGACCTCATTACAGATGGTTGTGAGCCACCGTGTGGTTGCCGGGAATTGAACTCAGGACCTTTGGAAGAACAGGCAATGCTCTTAACCACTGAGCCATCTCTCCAGTCCCCCCCCCCCTTTTTGCATGTTTTAAAAACTCCTGCTAAATGTTGGTACATACCTTTAATCCCAGCACTCAGGAGGCAGAAGCCAGCCTGATCTACAGAGTGAAGTTCCAGGACAGGCTCCAAAGCTACAGAGAAACCCTGTTTCTCTGTCTGGCCTGCTGTGATTCTTTTTTTTGTTTTGTTTTGTTTTTCGAGACAGGGTTTCTCTGTAGCTTTGGAACCTGTCCTGGAACTAGCTCTGTAGACCAGGCTGGTCTTGAACTCACAGAGATCCGCCTGCCTCTGCCTCCCGAGTGCTGGGATTAAAGGCGTGCGCCACCATCGCCCCTGCTGTGATTCTTTTTTTTTAAATATTTATTTATTTATTATGTATACAATATTCTGTCTGTGTGTATGCCTACAGGCCAGAAGAGGGCACCAGACCCCATTACAGATGGTTGTGAGCCACCATGTGGTTGCTGGGAATTGAACTCAGGACCTTTGGAAGAGCAGGCAATGCTCTTAACCACTGAGCCATCTCTCCAGTCCCCCCCTGCTGTGATTCTTAAAAAGAACTGTATATGAAGTGTGATATTAGGTCACGACTCGGAGTTGCTTAGAAATATTCACTGGCCAGGCGGTGGTAGAGCATAACTTTAATCTCAGCACTCAGGAGACAGAAATGGGCGGATCTCTGTGAGTTTGAGGCCAACCTGGTCTACAAAAGCTAGTTGCTAGTTCCAGGATAGGCGCCAAAGCTACAGAAACCCTTTTTCAAGAAACCAAAAAAAGAAAGAAAAAGAAAAAAAAAACTATTCACTACACTAGCACACTAACCCAGTTATGATAGTTACATTGGGACGAAGGGAGCAAACATGGGGGATACGGAAAATTAGAACTTTGCACATGCTTTCTCGGAAGTTGTATATAATGAAGCCAGGGCTTGAGAGATGGCTCAGCAGTTAAAAAGCACTTGCTGTTCTTGCAGGGGACCGAAGTTCTGTTCAGAAAATCCAAGATAGCAGCTATCCTTGCCTCTTGTTCCATGAGATTTGGTACCCTTTTCTGACCTCTGTGGGCACTAGGCATGTAAATAGTACACAGACATACATACAAGGCATATATAAAATATAATCAATAAGCTAGGCTGTGGTGGTGCATGCCTTTAATCCCAGCACTTGGGAGGCAGAGGCAATCGGATTACTGAGTTCAAGGCTAGCCTGGTCTATAGAGAGTTTCAGGACAGCCAGCGATAGACAAAGAAACCCTGTTTCAAAAAAAAAAAAAACCAAATGAATAAATAAATAACATAAATAAGCTAAATGTAAAGCTAGGCATGGTAGCACATGCCTTTAATCCCTGTTTTTAGGAGGCTGTACAGACTGCTGAGTCCAAGGCCAGCCTGCTCTACATTGCAAGCTCCAGGCAAGTGAAGGCTACATAGTGAGACCCTGTTTCAAAACAAAACACGCAAACAATATAAGCCAACAAACAAAATTAAAAGAAAGAAAAAATTAAATGTAGCTCAGTGCCTACCTAGCATGCATGCATGGACCCCTTTTCAATCCCCAGCACTGAAAAAAACACCAGTATTGTTCATCCAGGACAAGAAATATTAGGGCTGGGGAGATGGTTCTATCAATAAAGTCCTTGCCTTGAAAGCATGATGACGTGAGCTTGATCCCCAGAACCCATGTACAAACAAAAGCTAGGTGTACCCCTGCACTGCTTACAGTCCCAGTGTTTGTGAGGCAGACACAAGTGGATCCCAGCCTAATCTGTGGGGTCTAAATCAATGAGAGGCCCTGTCTCATAAAACCAAAGTGGAAGTGTCTGAGGAACACTCCCTGAGGCTGACCTCTGGCAGTACACTAGCACAAGCACACTCACAAGAAATAAATCTGAAACCATGTACTTTCAAGTCTCAATCATCACTGGATCTCCACATAATCTTTAACTTTTATGTGTATGGGTATGCTTGTAGGTCTGTGCAAGCCTGGTGCCCCAGAGGTCAGAAGAGTGCACCAGATCCTCTGGAATTGGAGTTAAATATAACTGTGAGCCATCATGTGGGTGCTGGGAACTAACTTGGGTCCTTGGAAGAACAGCAGTACTCTTAACAGCTGAGCCATCTCTCCAGCCCTGACTTTTCTTGTAAACATGGTGCTGGAGACTGAGTCATGAGCTTATATATGCTAGGTAAGTGCTCTACCATTCAGCTGCATCTTCAGTTCTTCTTAGTTTCCTTTTGCTAAGGTACCCAAGCAGGCCTTGAACTTGTGATCCTCCTGCCTCAGTCTCCCAAGTAGCCAGGATTTGAAATTTACATGACTCTTGCCTACCTCATCTGTAGGATTTAATTTCACCTTGTATAGTCCATGCTAGCTTCCAATAGGCACAAACAGCTCTGTTACAAATAGTTATGCACCAAAAACTTTACTGAAATGGGCACAGAACCTAAAAAGGAATGCCAACTTTTTCAGAAAGTAAAAAGGAACTCAAAACTGTCCATGGGAAAATTACTGAGATGCACATTCTTTCTGCTGCTCAAAAGGGAAAGAGTGTTCAGTAATGATAGTAAGGAAATCCGGGGGTGGGGCAGGGAGCAGGGCTGAGGAAGCCCTGAGTGAATGAAGTCTTGAATGAATGTGTATTGTTTAACATGGGCACAGCTATGGGAAAATGGGAAAGTCTTCCCTGAACTACGCTCAGGGAAATGGCAATTCCTTCTCTCTTGGTCCCTGTGGGAATGTTGACAGTGTATGCAGAAAATGCCCACCATAGCTCCCTGTCCTCCATGTTTACTGCCTGAAGACCCTCCCCTACAGAGATTGCTCCTGTCAAAATTAGATAAACCTGCCTCTTTATTTAGCTTCATGAAATAACCCTGCCCTCCTTGTTCAACAGGGTATAGTAAAAATGCTTAATTTTCTGGATGCTGAGGCTTCTCCATTAGATAGTTCAGTGCATCCAATCCAAGCTTTTTTGTTAGTGAGTTTGTCTTTTCCTTATTCTCTTGCTGTCCAAGTCATGTGAAAGCCTGTAAGCCATGCTAGGATTTGGCAAGGGTGGGGAGTGAAGGCTATTTCTTTTTCTTTTTTTTTCTTTTTTTTTTTTTTTTGCTTTTTTCGAGACAGAGTTTCTCTGTGGTTTTGGAGCCTGTCCTGGAACTAGCTCTTGTAGACCAGGCTGGTCTCGAACTCACAGAGATCCGCCTGCCTCTGTCTCCCGAGTGCTGGGATTAAAGGCGTGCACCACCACTGCCCGGTGTGAAGGCTATTTCTATTAGCACTGAGGTCACCAGGTTCTTTCAACAGGGCCTAGATCATCTGGGAGTTCCTCTGTAAACACAGGGTAGACTAGATGTAGAAATTGCTGGCAGCCCGAGAGATTCAAAAGACAAGTTCTCTCAGTCAGTAATGGATCTCAGGACAAGGTGTTCATGTGTGTATCCCAGCACTTGGAAATCAAGATAAGAGGTTTAATACAAGTTCTAGGCTATCCTGGGCTTCTACTTCCAAACGACAAAAAGCACAAGCCTTGGTGGCACAAGCCTGTAATCTCATCACTGAGGGATAGAGGCAGGAGGGTCAGTTCATCATCAGCTACACAGTCAGTGTGACCCAGCCTGGCTACAAAAGATACTGTCTCAGAAAACAACAAAAATCCTTACAAGTCAGGTTGTGCTGGCTTAAGGCTTTAAATTTTAGCACTTGGGGGTCAGAAGCAGGCAGATTTCTGAGTTTAAGGCCAGCATGGTCCACATAGTGAGTTCTAGGACAGTCCAGGCTACACAGAAAACCCAACCAAACATAAAAACCCTTTCAAACAAAAAAGAGAGTGAGAGAAAATGGTTGCAATTTACCACAAAACATATAGCACTGTCGCAAGGCTCCTGAGCTTTTCTTAGCAGGCCTTTTGTCCACATCTGACAGGAAGGGTCTGTCTAAGGGAGATGGAGCAGCCCAAAGCAGTCGCTAGCACTCCCTGACATCCAGGGGGGAAACAATACCTAAGAAGTTTGTGTACAGATCTCATAATATGGGGCCAGGCTTTGTCGTATATTAAAAACCAACAGATGAAGCAATAAACCAACCACAGCAGTTAGGTGGTAAGACAAACACTTCTTTTTTAGTTACTATTTTATGTACATTGGTGTTTTGCTTTCAGGTATGTCTGTATGAGGGCAAAGGATCCCCTGGAACTGTTATAGACAGCTGTGAGCTGCCATGTGGGTGCTGGGAATTGAACCCAGGTCTTTTGGAAGAGCTGTCAGTGCTCTTAACCGCTGAGCCATCTCTCTAGCCCCTGGACAAACACTTCTTAACTACTTTAAATGGTAACAGTGCTGACTATTTGAGTGATCCACAAAGGAGTTGATGAGCTAAGAAAAGCAAAAAGAACACAAAGTACAGATTACTGTATACAGTACTAAAATCACAAGCATATTTGGAATAATAAAAATGACCCAGATAAAGCAGCATGCACCTATAAATCCAGCTATTTGATAAGCTGAGGCAGGAGGATTCCTTGGAGCCTAGGATTGGAAGTTTGAGGCCAACCTCAGTGACACAGTGAAAATCATTTAAAAAATAAT